GAAAAAATCTGACGGATATGTGGGAATTTGCAGCACGAGTAACTCTTAACTACCCTTAAAACCCCCCAAAACAAAACAAAACAAAAAGAATCAACCAGTTTATGGTGGTAAACTCAAATAACTATCATCATCATTTCTGAGAACTTTTTTACTACCTACAATACAATTCAATAATGTTCACAATTTTATATTTTTCTTTTTTTAATGTTTAACATAATTGTGTTAAAAATAGGTGATTTATAGATGTGTGAATGCAAATTGTATATCCACTCAAAAACAATATTTCAATAAAACTATTGGAATTAATGTGTTGTGATTAAATAGTTGAACACAGCTGTAAAGGATTATGAAAGAAGAAGAATACGTTGGAGACATCTTCCCCTTTCTGACTGACTGTTTTATTTTTGGCTGACCATGTACTTCAGAGCTGTCTAAAGGCACAGGGTGAGGCGAAAAGCATTAATCTGAGTAAGTACAAATTAGGGTACCTTATAACTTTAAACTATCAGGACATGTTTTCAGTTTTCCTGGGGAAGTTTGAGGAATGACATCAATATTATAAAGTTATGCTCATAAAGGGTGAATCTTAAAAGTGGCACGTATTATATAAAAAACTCTCTGAAAACTATTTCGCAACTCTTTCTATTTTATTTGTATAGACAGCTTCCTCTTTCTGACTCAATGTTTTTGCAGCCACCAAAAACAAAGCTGTCTGAGAAGGCAGGATAAACAGCATTAATTTAAGTAAGTACAAATTAGATTAACTTCACACATCATGACATTTTCAGTTTTCTTGGGATCGTCTAAGGAAAAGAAATAAACGTTATCTTATTTGCAAAATCATAAGAATTTATGTTTGTAAAGGGTGAAAATTAAACATTATACATAGGAAAGAACCAAATTATTTCTCAACTCTTTCTATGCATTTCTTTTATCGTTCTAAAATTATTGATATCGTGATTTTTGCCATATATTGTATTCCTGTAGAATTCAATTAGGAATTCTTTGCTTTTCAACATTGTGCATTGTGTGGACCGCAATGACGTGTGAGAAACCCTAAAGAGGAGGAGAAGGGCAAACATTCATTTATATTGAAAGTGGATGTGAAAACATAAGAAAAGAGGAACAAAGTTTTTCTCATCGTATAAATTTCTTCGGGGACACGCTCCTCACACCTCATGATTAGAAGATTCTTTTATGCTGAGACTATTCCTAGAGACTCGCAACTGCTTCTAATAAGAAACGGTAACAGCAACAAGAAAAGGTAAGAATCTGAGCTTGGGTTAGTAAAGTAATTATAAAAATACTTAGTCTAAATTAAAATGTCAGTTGAAGGCAGCAGGCTCCAACAACCATGATGAGTGTCCTGTATACTGTTTCTACAATATTTACAATATGGCTACAACTGTAGCTTGCCTCCACCAGTGAGTGAATGAATAGTGGAATTGGAAAGCGCTTTTGAGGGTCTTAAAAAGCACATTATTATTATTGTCAGATTTTAAGAGACAGCTGAAAACATGTGCAATGATATACCTAAAGCGAGAGTTTGCAATCTGATATTAGAATTTTTTTCTGATTTGAAAGTATTCTCTTTTCAGATCCCTGCATTCACCTGATGAAAAAACACAGAGGCCTTTAGACGTTTTCAACTTAATATTTAAACAAACGAAACGAAAAAAAGGAGCCGACAGAAGTTATTTAAAGGACTATTTCTTTGCACTGCAAGAAGACAAAATGGGAAACCATCAGCTGCTGTCAGTTACAGTTGTTCTTGCAGCTGTTCAACTCATCAGTAGTTACAGTTTCAGGAACTGCATTGCAGAAGCAGATTCTGATGGGAAAACTTTCAATTGCATGCATCGGAATGCAATGCATATTTCTGATATTGTCAGTGACCTGCCACCATCTGCCATCAATCTCACCATTTTAAGAACTCCTCTGACCGACCTTCCTAACAACAGCTTTAGTAACCTAGTAGACCTTCAGCACCTCAGAATTGATAATAATTCCTTGAAAACCATCCGTCAGTTAGCTTTCCAAGGCTTGTATCAACTGAAGAATCTAAACATGTCATTAAACAAAATATCAGAGCTCAATCCTTCTCTGTTTAAGGACCTGCAGAATCTCACCTCCCTCTTTTTGGCCAACAATGCATTGGAGCGGCTGCCCGAGGATATTTTTTCATCTGTTCTCAAGCTACACACTTTAATCCTGAGACAAAACTTTCTGTCAGATTTCTCAGGCATTGCTAAGTCTGTGGCACATCTGACAAATCTGACGACACTGGATCTTTGCTTTAACAATTTGACCTCCCTCAGACACTCAAATGTGTCACTGCCCCAGTCCCTCACTGTTTTGTATGTTTGCCATAATAATCTATTAACGCTGGGATGTAAGCCTTCATTTCTCAGCTTTATCAACATTTTAGATTTGTCATACAATTCTCAGCTGCCTACAAAAGCCTTTGATCAAATTGATTTGAGCACTATAAATTATTTGCGTTTGCGTTCAACAAATGTAACAATAGTGGAGTTTTTAAACGTTAGCAACATCAATCCAAGTCATGTTGATTTCTCTGGTACAGGACTGAACAATGACAGCATGCTCAAAGAATTATGCATACTGTTGAAAAAAAGGCTGAAAGAGAAAAATCTTAAAAATATGAACCTGGGTAATAATGCAATTAGGCAACTTACAAATAACACACTGTCCTATTGTCCTAATATCACAGGGGCTTTGGATTTATCCCGCAACAACCTAAAGAGTGCATATTGCCTTGAGTTTCTTAGAAGACATGTATACATAGAAGACTTCAAAGCAGAGCACAACCATCTCAGCTCCCTAATATACTGTAAAAAAATGTTTCAATTTAAAAAAATGGAAAATCTGAGTTATCGTTACAATCGCATCTTAAAAGTTGACTCTCATGCTTTTTATCATACACCAAATATCAGGACGCTACAACTTAACATAAACAGTATTGCATTTCTCCATATACACGCTCTCAAGGGACTAAAAAAGCTCGAGACACTTCGTTTAGACAATAACCTCTTAACTGATTTGTTCAGTGTCACATTTGAAGATCTGGTCAGTTTGCAAATTCTTAACATTCGCAACAACCGCATTTCTGTCATTTTCAATAGGACTTTTTTCAACCTGACATTTTTAAATACACTGGATCTTGGAGGTAATAAGATTACCCATTTTCAGCGATCGGGTCTTGATGGACTAAAAAGCCTGTCCAAGCTCTATCTAGATGGAAACCAGCTAAAACAAATTGACCCTTTCTTATATCGTGCATTTCAAGACACCCTCACTGTGCTAGATTTACAGAGTAATCAGATTTGCTTCATAACAGAAACTCATGAGTCACCATTCATGAATCTCAGCAGACTGACTGATCTGAAATTAGATCGGCAGCGACCTAACGGACTCACCGTTTTACCACGCACTTTACTACGTGGCCTCTACTCACTGAAATCTTTGTATCTCACCAACAATAACATATACCATCTTGCTCCTGATACCTTTGATGACCTAACAGACTTAAGTTTCCTCACACTGGATAACTGCTGTGTTGGGGTGAAAAAATTAGAACCAGGGGTCTTTAAAAATTTAAGAAATTTGACCAGATTGGCTGCAGAAAATATGGGCATTCAGAACTTCTCTAAAGAGGTTTTTGGGAATCTTACACAGTTACGTTTACTGCAGCTCAACCGCAATGCCATGCAGACTCTTTCTGTAGACGCATTAATGAGTCTACCTATGCTTCGTTACCTTGACATACGAGATAATCCTGTAAGCTGCACCTGCAACAATGTGCCTTTGCAAAATTATACAAAGAATAACACAGATGTTCAGGTGGTGTACCTGTACAACCTGTCATGCCAACACAATCCAAAACTCAAATTTTACAATTTTGACACTAAAGTTTGTCGCGGAGATATAGGAATGTACCTGTTTTTTAGCACATCAGCTGCAATCTTCTTGTTTACAATCATTCCCTTATTCTATGTTAAACTCTACTGGAAAATGAAGTACAGCTACTATGTGTTTCGGGCCTGGTTTAGCGAGCAGTGGAGCAGATTCCATGAGGAGGAGGAGAATTGTAAATATGATGCATTTATTTCCTATAACTCATCTGATGAACAATGGGTCATGGACCAATTGTTACCCAACTTGGAGGGAGGCGGATCATCTTTTAAGCTTTGCCTGCACCACAGGGACTTTGAGTTGGGCCGTGATATTGTGGACAATATTGTTTCTGCTGTATACAGCAGCCGGAAAACCATTTGTGTGGTGAGCAGGAATTTTCTGCAAAGTGAGTGGTGTTCTCTGGAAATCCAGCTTGCCAGTTACAGACTCTTTGATGAGCACAGAGATGTTCTCCTGCTCGTTTTTCTGGAGCCAATCTCTGAGAGGCAGCTGTCTTCGTATCATCGCATGAGGAAAGTTATGTTAAAAAAGACTTACCTGCAGTGGCCTGGTTCAGACTGTACTAACCCAACACAGGCGCAGGAACTGTTCTGGAATCAGCTGCGTAGAGGAATAAAAACAGGGACCAGACTAGAGACAGAAGAATATTCTGCAACTCGTGAGAGCAAAGAAGCTGAAGACTTTATGGATGAGAGATCTGATGAAAACTTTTACTTGCAACCTTAGAAAGAAAATAAGAATGTGTGATTTGTGGTTTTACTCAATTAACCTTTCAGTCTAAATGTGTTTATCTGTGATGAAGTTATGTTGTAAATATGCAATATAATGTGTAATAAATGTAAGAGCAGCTTTTGTTAATTTTATGTTTTGCAGTGTTTATGTATATATGCAATTTCTAAAAATGTCTTTTAAAATTACTGTTTTGCATTTAAAGGGATGCGCAACTTTCACAAACAAATAATATTCCATTATGACATGTGTTTTTAATTGTACAGAAGTCCAAAATAAACATAAATGCTTAAAAAGGTTGAAAATGATGCATAATCAAAGGCTACTTAACTCAGCAAAAACAGGACAATAGAAAAAGACAGGTTACTCTTCAGAGGATAGCTATTGCATCTATGCTTAATGCTATGGTTATATTAATATGGGAACATAACATGTTTATCACTCACTAAACAAAAACCTTGGAGTGCATAAATTAAGGGAGAATTGTCCTTTAATCAGTCATAGAAATATTGATCCACATGCTTGTATGGAGAGCTTTACCACACATTAGTACAGTCTCATAGGAGGGAAGGACCACGGCTCAGGGCTAAGGAAAGCAGAAAGGGAAGGTGAAGGGTCTCTCTCAAGAATGAATGACGGAGGGTAGTGCATAATATCAGTGTGCTGGGACTTCAGAGAACAAGCTGAAGCGTGACTGAACTGGTTTGAAGGTTGGAAATGGCTGCTCTGATGGTGAACTGGGGCAGCAAAAGAGGGAACACAAGAGTACATATCAGTTCCAAATGGGTCTTCCTGCTGGGCAAAGTGCATTGGCTCTCCTGCGTATGTATCTGGCAGCTGCGATTGGTAAGGAAAAGAGGGCTGGGAGTTGCTGTCAGAGTACTGTAGGCTCTGATTTCCAAGTAAGCTGGATTGGTCCATGAAGCCATTTTCAAAAGAACCAAATGTAGCTGAATTTTTGCTCTTTGACCAGTTTAAACCATCTTGCCAGTTCTCAGGTACAGAAGCCACTTCTCTCTGGCATAAAGTGGTAGAAGGAGCAAACAAAATGCTTTCTGGAGCTTCACAGGTCTGAAGGTTCATGAACAATGGAGGAGAGAGACTTGGTCTGAGGATATCATCCAAAACACTGTCAGCCATATCCGCAGGGCTCGCCAGCCACTCAGTAACCTTGACAATTAACATAAGGAATCATTATTTATTATCAGAGAATCTTATATTATAGAAATCTGAAAATAACTTAAGAGTGACAATGTAAACTGAGGGCCTCACCTGTTTTTGACTGCAGTGTTGCTGCAGACTGGTCTTCCAGCTGGAATGGCTATTTGCTGGCATATTAAAAGAGAGATCTAAAAATAAGGAAACAAAACTGAAAAAATGTAGGTATGTCATGCCTACTTCTGTTTTTTTTAAATAACCACATAAAATGATGTAAAACCAAATTGATGGTTTGTGTCTTTTCTGTATTCTTTACACAAATTAATCTCCTGACATAAAACAAACACAAAACACTTTTTAGGATAGGTCAAAAAATCCAAACCTATCTTCACACAATGGATGCCTATTTTAAAAAAAAAGTATTTTTAAAAAAAAAAAAAATCTTCCTCATCATGCAATACATGGAGTTAAGATCAATGTTTTCTCTTTTTAAAACAAAACAAAACAAAACAAAAAAAACAGCAGAAATGTTGGTTTAAAGATATTTAACAGTAAATAAACCTTTAAAACTATTTTAGCACAGAAGGCATTATCCAGTCATTCTTTAAGGGGAAAAAGGTTTTTTCAGTGTTTCACTTCTCTTCCGTAACTGTTTTTGCACGTGTTTGACAGAAGGAAGAGGTGGCGCAAAGACAGACAAGTATAAGAGAGGACAGTGGTGAGTTAATGACAACTGATTGAAGTGCAAGAAATGTTAATTATTCTAAAACCATAGATAGACAGATGCAGATTTACACTAAACATCTGTAAGTCTGATAGTAGAGAAGCTGGTCCTAGCTGGAGTACCAATAACTCTCTGCCAAAGTTAAATCTGAACCAAATACACAAGCTCTACAAGGCTGAGGGGGAGTAACAATTACTGCAACGGTAAATTCTATAGTACATGACAGCACAAAGACACGGGAAGAAAAAGTGACAACAGGTAAACGTGATGTAGGTGGAGGTCATGGTCAGTCTCTAAGGGAAACACTTTGTGCAGAATTCGCAATTAGTGTATTTAAGTTGTGTTTGTATTGTGTGCATAAGAACAAAATAATGTGTGTGAGCTTACAGGATGCAGCATGCACTATTACTAGTTCAATTTAATCTGAATGACTAAATGGTTAAAATACATCAACATAAAAAGACAGTGTAAATGTTCAAGCTATCAAACAAAAGTAAATGTAAGAACTTAAATATTTCTTACCAATCAGCTTGGCAATATATTACTAACAATCACTTTTATACTAAGTACTTATAAGTAACAATGAATGCAAAGATAGTCCATAAACACTTTTAAAATAACAAATTTTGAGCATATAATCTGTATCACAATGTAATAACATCTATCAAACAGATGTTTGATCAGCTGGAAGTTACACAGTTGAAATTATTACCATGTCAACCAGCATGGCTGTGGTCAAACAGAGATCATTAGACATAATCAGTTAAAAACTTGCACCAGAATATCTCCCCTATGATAGTGATAGATAAAGTATAACAAGTAGTTGTTACTTTTAAAAAAACGAAACGTTGAGCTTGAACAAATCTGCGCTTTCCTTTATAGTATGGGGGACATGTATTTTAAGCTCTAGACCAAAATACTAAATTTTGCTCTACAAGGGCCTGATATCCACTTACGATGACATTATAGTGCCACAGTTCAATTGAAATTTTAAACGAATATCCTCATATGTGCGTCTCATTTTTGTCAGAAACAAAAATCAGGTAAAGAAAATCTGGCAATTCTTTGTTTTTACACTCATCAGGTCCCAATGAGCCCAAATATCAAAAAGAAATAAAAATGCATGCCATGGAAGAGTTCAAGTCTCAAGAGGTTAATGCTCACCTGCGGCAAAGAGATTCTCTTCATTTTTCCTGGTTGGCTCTTGATCATGATCTTGGTCTTTCTTTGTGGGATGCACAGCAAAGCTACGATGTTGCTGAAGTCTAAGGAGGTTCTCTTGAAGCCACGGTCCATGTGTTTCCCTCAGAGAGTTTAACAGGACCTCCCTGCTCTCTGACAGCAGGTTTCTCCTACTGATCGACGGAAGCTTCAAACGTTGACACAAACGTCCTGCTACTGCACTGACAAACTTCGTTACATACTCTGGATCTTGTGTTCTGTCCTGTATCTCACAGCTGTTAGTAGTGGCTGAACTGGAGAGTTTAAGTGGGCTTGAGGTGAGACCATGAGTTTGTATCTGCTGAACAGGGGGCTCCTGGTTCTTTGGGGTTTGCACAAGAGTAGAAATCACACGTTTCTTTACATTTGTGTTGAAAGTCTTAATATTGTCTCTGTCAACAACCGGAGTCAGCAGTGATTCTCTGCTGTTTTCAGACATGACACATGCCCACTTGGTTTCTGTTGTTAGTACATCGAGGAAGCTGTGTTTAGACCAGTGGCTGCTTTGAAAACTTTCACATGAAAGAGGGAGTTGTTGTTGTGGTTTCTCTTCTGTTGTGACATCTGACTGCTTTGACTCAAACTGGATGTTGTTCTTTTCCTTCTCTTGGCAGTCAGTGTGGGCTTTTGAAGCAGGGTCTGTATTTTTTCTGAATGGCACACAGCTCCCAACATCTGTATCAGCTCCCAACAAAGCATCAGTGGACAGTGAAGCAGAATTGTGCGATGCTGAAGATGAAATTACAGTGTTCTTTTCTTTTCTTTGTTCCTCCAGTTTTGGCTGTTCACTTAGCAAGCGTTCAAAATCAATAGACTTCACCTCATGGTTAAACAGGCCATGGTGTCCTGTCAGGCGGCCGTCTGTGATGATACTGGGCTCCTGCACAGAGCGCACAACACTTGGAAATGGTGGATTTCTCCTCGAAGAACAATGGCAACTAGCACAACAGCAGTTATGCAAATGTGCCATGTCTATGTTGCTTTGGCAATGACGGTAGTGATGATGATGGTGATTTGACTTGATCTTTGAAATCTCTTTCCAGCCACCTCTTATTTGACTCCTCTCCTTGCGGGTCTTCAGTCGTTTCATTTTTTTCTCCTCATTTGCCTTACTGTAATGGGTTGAATATCTGGGAAGAGCACTGAATCTTTTTGCAAAGCAACACTTTTTATCTGTTGTTTTTGTTTCTTGTTGAAAATTGTTGACTTTTCCTTCTTATAGAGGTCCTGCCACACACATGGCTCATGCTGCATTCTATTCTGTAGAAAAATAACCACAGTTAGTAAAGCAGGCTTGATAATACAGGATGTGGTTGTACCTCATTGAGGTCGACTCTAGTATTAAAATTAAGAGCAACTTACCAATGATTCAGTGAAACTGACTAAATATAAATTTGAATGTGGGCTTTGACTTGAACATGTAGACCACACACAATACAGCTTTCTAAGCACTTCATAAAAATAATAAGAAAGCATGTAACATACTTGCCATAGTTTAGCAGAGATAGATAAAGTATGAAAAATGTCTCCTTTACCTTAACATTATTTGTGCAATTAAACCCTGAAGTGAGGATCATTTCATGTACAGTACAAATTGTAAGGAAATTAATTTGCATGACATTTAAAATCATATTAAACTACAGACACAAAATCATTCCAATATATAATGTATTATTTGACCTGTTCCACAATCACAAGAGTTTCACCATATATGTGCAGCTGTACACACTAAAAACTAGGTTTCGAGAAAAACATTTCACATAAATGGGCGAAAAAAAGACACTGAGCAGATGGGCCTACTGCAGTCAGACTTTGAGCACTTTAAGTACCTCTTCAGATATTTTTGCAGTTTTATAGCTGTGGTTACATTTCTCTGTGCATGCATGGTTGTAATTATTTATAACGTTTGTAATTGTATAGA